CATATTGTGTTCTAAATATCGTCTCCTGCGGGCTGTGAAATACGACGTTTTTTATAAACTATGCGATTCTTCTGCAGGCAAAGATTTTTGTCCCGACTCCTCCCGGAGCGAGGAAGGTAGTTCTGGCCACCAACATTGCCGAAACTTCGCTAACGATCGACGGCATAATCTATGTCATCGATACGGGCTTTTGCAAACAAAATTTTTACAGTGCGCGTGCTGGTATTGAGTCCCTCTTAGTGGTGCCGATTTCCCGAGCAGCAGCCGACCAGCGTGCTGGCAGGTAAGCAAATTACCCTGCTGAATATTTTGTCGGAAGAGCTAGGTGTCTGATAGTTTAAACTCATCGTGAGGAGGGCTCCAAAATGCATTTTGGGATACCGAACTGTAAGAGGAATTTAAAGTCAATATTATTTTACCGCATATTTTCTGCCTCTGTCCTCGTCCTGATTCTTCTGTCACAGTGGGAAGACCTTTGAATGCAACGGCAGTAGTGCATTTTGTAGGGTTTACTTGAGTCCTCGTGTTATGGATCCCGTCGGTGGAGCGAAAAAAAAAAGAAAAAAAAATACTCATTAAGACAATATGACACAGTTCCTTCAAGTCTCTTAACCTCCTTTGTAGTGTACACTTTTTGCCCGACCATAGCATCTTTGATAAAATGTTGAGGATGTATCTCATTGTCACTTTCACTGATGCGTAATTTGACCTATTTTCTAATTTCATCAGATCTATTACTCACCAGCTGGCTCGAAAACGAGCCCTCTTGGGCATATCAGAACGTTATTTTTGTTATTTGGTTATTGTAATGTCAAGATTGGAACTTCAGTAGTTTAAGTGCTGCGACCCTTGTGGCAACCAAATCGTGGCAGGCTGAAAGAACACATTTAATTAAAATTACTTAGTTAAACCAAGTATACTTTTACTCAGTTTATTGTTTGTTATTACATTCACATCAGAGCGGGCCGAGTGGCGGCGGGTAAGTGTTTTCGCCTCTACACCTCGCACGCCTATCATACGGAACTGGAGGCCCAACCAGTGCCGGAGATTCAGCGCACCAATCTTGGAAACGTGGTGTTACTTCTCAAGTCATTGGGGATTGACGATCTCCTACACTTCGACTACATGGATCCTCCTCCACACGACGCTCTGGTGATGGCGCTCGAACAACTCTATGCTCTTGGTGCACTCAACCACAAGGGTGAACTCACCAAGACGGGGCGACGAATGGCCGAATTTCCCTGCGATCCCATGCTCTCTAAGATGATTCTTGCCTCAGAGAAGTAAGGTTTTCTCCATCCCAATGCTCAGAATAATCGGGTCTTACTTTCACTTCTTGGGCTATTATTTACTCTCAAAGACTTGCTCATCTGTTCGTCTTTTGCCTCTCTGTCAGGGTGGGATCATTCTAGTTGATCTAGAAGCTTTATGGCAACAAATACCACGCAAGTCTTGAGGAAAGCAACCATCTTTCGTTTCAAATGCATTCTGGAAAACCAAAATGAGTTGATAGAATGGGAACTATGATTTAAGAATAAAAGTTAATTGTTTCACATCTATTCCAGGCTTTCCGGATTTATTTTAGTTTCAAGATTGTTCTGGCTCCACAGAGGTAAACTTTCTCCAGTTTAATTTTTCCTTCTTAAAACGATTTTAGCCATAGTCCTCTCACCTTCCTACTCACTTTATCTTTATTTTCTTCATTACATACACTAGCTAACTACCTCTTATTGTCGTATAATCAAAAGATGCTATTCCATGCAACTAATCAAGCTTATACGGTCTTAAATTGGTTGTTGACATCTCCCCCCCGTCTCCTTACTTTAGCTTTGAGAATCAGCAAGGTGAATGGAGAATATAATGCCACATTTCTTTTCTCCCACAGGTATAAGTGCTCTGAGGAGGCGATCACAATTTCTGCCATGCTTTCAGTGAACAAC